AACAATATCATACAATTACAGGAATAATAGTGAGAACTTGTAATCCCAACCAATGATATCAAAATCATCAACAAGCTTAGCCAACAAATGCCATTACTGTCTTAATCCTCAACCTTCTAAATGATTGTTCATTACTACCAGTTCAATTACTAGGGTCTAGAAAAGAAGTTGATTAAACTTCACCAATAGAAATGGTTGGAAGATAAATATATCCACAAATCATAGGGCATAAAGTAAACTATGTTGCAAGGAAAACAGGTTTTCCATATTCTATAATAGAAATAAAGAAGTGCTATTTTTTTCCATTTATGGATACCTTTATCACATAGCATATTATATATGCTTTTCTTACAGTTGAATTACAACATAAGCATGTAGCTTGTTTGTGTACTCCCTAATACTAAACTAAAAATAAAGCATTATTATTAATATATATCAGACAACTGAGATGAAAATAGCAGGCTAAGAACAGGTCCTGATGTTGGTTATGGCCAAACATACATGATTTATATATTGAGATGGTCAGGGCTTACTCATTTGGAGTGCAGCAATTATTCCTGCCTGACTTGAGAATTTCCCACATTTTTCCCTTGATCCTCAGCTAAAACGACCTTCTCCTTTGTTTTCTGGCTAACTTCTACAGCTGTCTTGGCGACTCTTTGGAACACCTCGGTGACCCAGGAAGCCCCAGTTGAGACATAGCGGTTAGTCATTATCGCTGATCCTGCAGTGCTCACGGCTGCCTTGGTCTTCTCAGACACTTGAAACTTCTCATCCATTTTTCTCACTTGCTCATTCACCACTGTTGTGCCAACGCTAATTTTCTCGCTAAGACCGATTTTTTGGTCCAGAGAAGCCACTTTGAATGAGGCTGTCGATGTCAACTGGTGCCTCTCGTCAAAAGACTTTGCCTTATTGAGGGCATCTTTGCCCAAACTGAAGCCTTTGGCAAGCATGCTGCTAACTACATCTTCTGCCTTTTCCATTGCAGATCCAGTAGTAGCAGAGCCTGTGTTCTCTGTAATCTGGTGAAGCATGTTTATTTATTCATGTCAGAAATTGGAGAAACAAGATTGAAAATACTGTAAGGGTAAGATTGAACATACAGGAGTAGACACCATTGGAGGGGATTTGGCAGCAGCAGCAGGTAGGTTGTAATCCGGATCAGAAGTGATGCTAACAGGCTGATCAACAATTGTAGCTCCCTGAGAAACGCAGCATAGATTAATCAGGTAAGATAACAGACGAACATTACTCTGGAAAATTAACACAGCGACGCAATCTCTCTACTGGCCGAGAAATTATTGAATCAAGAAAGAGTAATATATTAGATGTATGAGAAAGAAATTAAGAACAATTTTTTTTTATCCATGCCTCTGGCAGCTATAAAAGTGACAGCACATTATGACGAACATATTGAATAATTTCTTCCCATGACCATGTTAAAGAAGTAAATGCATGAAAACTTGTTAAATCTCCTCTATTGGATCAGAAGGTGGTTGCATTTCTTGAGGAACTTTTTGAAGAATGAAACTCCGCTCTAAGTAATTTTCAAAACACGTTACACCTTAGAGCCATCTTTTCGTAAGAGAAGAAAATTTCTACTTTTCAGGAAACATTTTCTAATGTAAGTTCAAAGGAAACTATTTATGGTCCCAAGATGGATGCATTGCAGAATACAGTAAATAAGTACATATTCCAATAAAATTATTTAGAAGATATACAAACTAAGAAGAAGAACAATTGAAATAAATAAAGAGAATAATAAGAAGAAAAAATTGTATCAACCGAGAGTAGAATCGATGTCTCTGCCCCTTTCGAATCCTTAAAGGTAACAAATGCAACTTGAGATCGCTCGCTGTCCCTACAATAAAATAAAACGTAGTAAATGAAGGTGCATATGGACAAACAATTGGAGAACAAAATGAAGGAAAGAAAAAAAAAATCCTCTGATAATGACAGTTCCCATTCGAACTAAAAAAACAGCAGAAATACAATTTTGAGGCACTAGTAAACCACACTTACTTTCGCATTTCGACAAATTCAATCTCACCGGAGAAAGAAAAAAAGTCTCTCAAATCTTTCTCCGTCGCGCTTAAGGAGACATTGGCAACTCTCACCGTTCTGACCATCTGCAACCACATAAACGAAACAAAGAGACAGAAACGATTAAACAAAACACAACCAAAATCGGAAAATCAAACTCGAACTTCGACGTTTTCGGTGGTTTTCGAGAGTATTCCAATATTATGCCACTATGACATCGGAAGTAACGCATTCTCCATCTCCACAACACAGAATTCACGCATGTTTCAATCAAAATTACGGAAAAAAAAGAAAAAGAAACATAGTGATTGTTTATTCAATCTTAAGCAGTTGATAACAAGGAGAAATCAGGCTTCAGAGAAGAATACAAATTGAGGATAATAAGATCGGCAGAAATCAAAGAGGTTATGAAGAAAATGAAGAGAAAAAGAAAGAAAAACGAACACCAGCCGCCATGATGTTCCGTTTGATCCACCTGAGAAGTTCCGAATCCAAGTTCTGAGAGAGAGAGAGAGAGAGAGAGAGAGAAGAGGGAGGATGAAAGAGGAATGGCCTTCTCGAGAGGTGTGTTGTGTTGTGGCTTGGCGGTTGTTTAGGTTCAAGATTACATTTGGCAAAATAAAGAAACTGACTCCGTCTTTTTTTTTTTCCTTTTTTTATTATTTTTAAATTTATAGTTTAATTATGTCAAAAAAATAAAATTAAATTAATTTAAAGTTGGTAAATGTGTATAGTATTTTATAAATTAACATGTGATTTTAAAGTAATATTTAAAAAAAGTGACATGATAAATGATGGGTTTGGAGGGGAGAAACCTAATCGAGTTTAGAGATTCGAATTCTTATCCCTATACATTGTTGAAATAAAGAAAACTAAATAAAGTTTAGGATGGAATCGAACCATTAACATTTAATATGTTAATAAATGTTTTGTTTACGTGAGTTTAGCTTGATTGATTATGATACTTATTTTCGATCAAAAAGTCGTGAGTTCAAATTATCATCCAGCGTGTGTTGTTGTACTAATAATAATAAATAAATGTCTTGTTTATGTTCAAATTTAAAACTTAACTTATTTTTCTAATGTTAAAACGAATACAGCTCAGCGATAATTGACACCTATTTTCTAACCAAGAAATTATAAATTTGAACCCCACCCCTCGAAAAAAAAACTTATAACGTACAAAGGTATACAAAATTTTCC